TACAGTGGTCTGATAAGCCAAGAGGAGGGAGGGTACGAATATCTGAGAAGAAAGAAGGGACCGAATTAGAATTAGATCAAGGGTGTGGGCATGATCGTCAGCACGATCAGGGACACGTGTGGGAAGGTTAACTAGTTGGCTCAGGTTGTTGACCAAAGCGAAGTGTTCGGCTTCGTGCCCCAAAGGAGAAGTAGCAGATGAATGAGTCAACCAATCCTGATCGTGAACGTTAAAATCTCCTAAGGTGGTAACATGGCAGTTGGGGTCGGTTGCAAACAAATGTTCAATGTTCGAAGATAGAAAATGAAAGACGGTAGGATCGCCGCTATTGGGGGGACGATAAAGAACACAAAACTAATGATTGAAGGAGGGAAGTCGGAGTTTCAGCCACATCAGCTGAAATTCACGATGGGAAAAGTCAAGATTTGGGATTCTGGAGGCGGCAACTGATTGGTGAATAAAGGCGCAGACACCAGCTTTGGGCAGAAAGGAGGAATGGAGAGTGTAGTTGGGGAATTGAAGGTGAGTGGTGTCTGACGAGGGGGAAATTTGTGTTTCTGTCAAGAAAAGGGCGAGCGGAGAAGAATGTAGGAAATGGTGAACAGAATCAATATTGCAGTTCAGCCCGCGAATGTTGGTGGGGGTGATGAGTGCTTGTTTACAGTCTGAGTGCGTAGTGAGCGAGAGTACGTGATCGTTTGTGAATTTGTATTGTCATGTTTATGTTTTGCTCAATTGGGCACCTTGGACGTTTGACCCATCAAAAAGGCGCGTGATGCGATGAACTGGACACCGGCACCCAATGGATTGCGGTTTTCATACACCACCCAGCTGCCTTACGGGTCAGGTTTTGGTTTTCCGAAGGCTCCGGTTGTGAACTCCCTAAGGAACTTTACCTGCCTTGGCATGGACAATCTAGCAGTATCGTGTCCTCTGGAAAATCATGAACCATTTTTTCTTATAAAGACTATTGTACCGTGATTTGTTTGAGACACAGTCAGATCTCAGATGTGTAAAAATATATAACATCTGTAGGTTTTGTCCCTATGTGATACGTTCATTTGTTTTGTGTCATAGTTAGACAGTCGGGCTTTGAACAGACAATAAATATCTTCTTCGTAGTCATGCAGTGAACGCAATGTAATGCAAGGGCTTCCTACGTCTAGCAGTGTGCTAACATTTAAACAAACTACGTAGTGTACAGATGGCTTAGGTTTAGGTTCCATTTCTCATTTGTCACCCCAGCCACCGACAGAGTGCAGGACGCGTCGCTTCCCGGGAACGCCGTAGCATGAATGCAATGTTACGTCGTAAGACGATCCATGAAGAAACTTGGGAATGAAGTACTAAGTGAAGTCTTCATCGTTTGCTGTTTTAGTTCAGTTCTCAAAACGAACAGTGGCTCGTGCCTGTCATTTCTCCGAGTTGAGCTTTGCCGGACCTCTGCCAATTAACCTTTCAGGCATGATGTTATCTATGGCGGAGAATCCAGAGCTCTTAGGGTCTTGAAGACAAGCCACCATATAAAGTAAAGGTCCTCTCGTATTTATGTAATGCCACCCTTTTGATGCCTAAGGGGATATTGACTTGCGTGTTTCATACTCCTCTATCAAGTTATTCTTCGTGCGTGTACTCGCGATGGGATTTCGACCAAGATATTTGGAAGCTCCCAAATTTTTTGAAATATTTTATACATCATTAGTACTGGTGCTAAATATTGAGTACCTCGAAGGGATCGAAGAGTAACGTGACTGCTGGAAGGAGTATCTTAATTTTTTTGGCTTGTAGTTTTGACCCTAGACTAATGAATTTGATTCTGGAATTTAAATAAGAGTATATACTGTGTAGCTGTCATAATGAAATCACCATCCATCTGGGGACCTCGTGTTATGAGATGTAAAAGGATCTAAAAGCCTGGGCTTAAAGAGGAATTATAAATTTTCAACTTACTCAAGCAGATTGGAATCAACCACGCGGTTTCAATTCCTCGTCTGTCTTCGTTATTTTATTTGTTGTCAAGGCTTCTCACCGATTCCAAAATTTCGGATGAGGCAACCGCATTGGTTTGTATCCGTCAATTACACACCCGATTCAACGTGCCCACAGTGATTCTGAGTAGCAGTAGCATAATCTATCGGGCTAATACATCTGATTCGGAACTTGTTGAACGGAGAGACATCATGTTAGGTTTTGCCAGTCATCGTATCGATTTACACCAACAAAGTGGAGATTCACAACCGGCTCGCTCAGGTGAAGGTCAACTGAACAATCAGATATCAAGTGAGTGATTGTTGAATGCTATACTTCTTGTGCTTGCTTTACTTATATTCGACTATTAAATACGTGATTGTAAATTGGCTTCTTAGAGGTTTCTGGTGGTAGCGGCTCCACATGTTGCGAGCTGCGTCGAGGCAAGCGTACCTTAAAATCCTGTTGTTGCGCCAGTCGCTCGCTCCAAAGGTCGACTGAAATGCGGGCTATCCACTAATACACGTTTTTAGATGGCTGTCAGTGTCACATTCCAATGCGGTCAAGTTGTCGGCTACTCGCCTGTATTTTTGTGATTTCTGTTTTCGGCCGGCGCAGACCGGCGTCGTTGGAGTAATATAGATAGTCTGTCTCTATCCTTAAAATGTTGACTGATGGTGGAGTTTGAAATATGATCGTACCCTTTACTGTGAACCACATGTCGGAAGCAGCAATAATCAAAGTGAGATTTCCTCGACAAACGAACCAACGGGTCCTTCACAGAGAAAGCTGGAAATTGAAACTATGCTTTACTTGACTAATAATTGCGTTACATGGGCTTCACTTAAAAAAAGAACCTCATATAACATGCAATTGGAAAGTGTTCAAACGTGAAAACAAGAATATGACAGTTCTAGTTTATCATTTCACTCACTCAGTTGTCACCTATGTGAGGACAGCGCCAACCGTGGCTTACTAGTCACACAGTTGTGTTGAGGTTTATTTCTTCGCGAAACTACAAGGGTTTGCCCGTTGGCCGAGTGCCATCACGACGAGACTGCACCTTGACGTGGTGTGATGGCTTGCGCGCCTCAGTGACC